AAAAAAAAAAAAAGTCACTGGGTGGGTTCAAACAGCCAACAATTCAGTTAGCAGTCAAGCACTTCAACACCATACCACCAGGCTCCTTCAGTTTAAATTACAAATCATGAAAATTTCAACATAAAGCAAACAAAAACCCTTCACAACTAGAGTAATAAGCAACATCATGATAAACAGTGACAATAGTGAACCTATAAAGGGTTTCATTTTACTTGGACTCAAAAATGAACACCAAAGAGCACAGTCAAGAAATCTAACACTGCCAAGATATCAAATGACATAGAGCAGTAGGCAAATCTTTAAGACCTCTTTCACATTTTAAAGTACAAAGACATCACTTCGAGGACTAAGGTAAACCTGACCCAATTCATGATATTTTCAATTGCCTCATAGGCATGTGAAAGCTGAACAATGAAAAAGGAAGACCAAAGAACTCTTGACATCCTTGAATTATGATGTGGGCAAATACTGAATGTGCCACGGACTGCCAGAAGAACAAATCTGTCTTAGAAGAAGTACAGCTAGAATGTTCCTTTAGAAGCCAAGATGGTGAGACAACTTCTCATGTTCTTTGGACATGTTATCAGGAGGAACTAATCTGTAGAGCAGGTTAAGTAAAAGAACATCAAAAAAATAGGAAACCCCTCCATGAGACAGACTGATACCAGGACTGCAATCATGTGCTCACACAAGTCAACAATTAAGAAGATGGCACAGGACCATGCAGTGCTTTGTTGTGTTGCACATGGGATGATCTCTATGAGTTGAAACTCAACTCAGCGACACCTAATCCCAACATCTTAAGATGGTTTTTGTGGTTTCTGACAGTAAAGCAGAGGGAATAATAAATACTGAAGGAGAAATGGAGAAGAAACAGGGAACCTGCAGATCCTACCAAAAGCCCACTTCAGGTGTCAGAGAAAGTCTCATTGTACTCCATGATCCATTAGGAAATTCTAAAATACTCTACTGATAGCAGTACGACTCTAACCTGATTGTGGATATTTCTATTAGGAGATCCTTTGAACAGCAAACATTTGGGAATATTTTACTTGAAAACGTCAATGAGGTTATACCACAGGACACGTCTTAAATCTGTAACTATGAGATTCTACATGCCATGAACTGATAAGCAGGTCTTTACCTGGCAACCCCTCCATAATCAAGGCCTTCTTCTCCACGAAATTTTATCATTAGCCGCTTCCACAGGTCTTTTGGTCTCATTTTCATGACCTGTCTATATGATTCCTGAAAAAGTTTTAAAATTCTATATTACTAGGTATTTTTAATCTATTACTTAAAACTCTCCCTCCCATTCCCTCCACAAAGCATAAATCTTCTAAACAAATTATACTTTATTCAAATAATCAAATCAGTGGATAAACCCCAATGTTTTAAAAACTTCATGGAAATTTTAAAAACAGATTGGACATAAGTTTAATGCTACTGAAATACTACATTAAAATCCTCCTAGTTGCAAAATTCCATGCTTAGTTCCAGAACCACAGCAGTGGTTCTTCACATACAAGGGACCTTCAAATGTTCGTGGAAAAATTCCATTACCTTTTAATTCCTTCCTCCCATGAACTTATTGAAACCCTATCATATTAAAGACAAAATCTGAAAGAAATAATAGATTTCTAAAAATTGGTTTACTTAACTCTAGGTCATAAGCCAATGGAAAATAATGATAAAGTTTCAAAGGAAAATGAGTCATCAGTGCAAATCTGCATTAAATTGACAACTTTTTATTATTTTAAAATACAAACAAGGCCAGGAATGTTCTCAGAGAAAACAGCTCATCCTTTGGGATTGCTATATCCTAAAATATTGTTTACCAAAATGCTCTAATGAGTGGGAAACCCCTGCTTTTGGCCTCTGCAACCAATTAGGAAAGAATACTGGAGCTGATAGTAGGGATCTATATATTCCAAAGATAAGAAGGTACTCCTGAAACAAATTTTTCAATAAATTAAAATAGTTCATTATAATTAAACAAAATGATTTTCTGATTTAAGAATCCTTTACCTTCTGTAAAATTGGAAATTAAAGGATGAATAATATTTGCAGCCTTAAAATTTACAAACAAATAATTATTTGCGAGGCAAACACCAAGTGGAACACTGGGACTATCTCACATGTTAAATCTCTTCAATATTATTTTCTATTCTTCACAATTAAAAAAAGAAGTTACTGAGAACCTTCTCACTTTAAAGAGATATGAGTCTCAAAAAGTATTCTTGAAAAAGACAGTAAAACATGAAGACTCAATTTTTCTGTTTTAAAATAAGGCTTAGAAGTTTACCTCAAAAATTTCTTCCCTGGAAACCTCAATGCGGCAGTGGCCAGCCTGAGGCTGTTGCTGGGAAAGTTCTTGCCGCAAGATTTTGAGTTTCTGAACCAGGTCTCTCTTATACCTCGGGACTGTCAGACACTCGGTGTCATCAGGACATAATGATACCACTTGCTGTTGCTGTTGGTCTTTTAATTGGTTTTGCCGGCTAGAAGTAAACAGGTATTAATAAATTCTCTTCAATAAAAAGGATTGCAACTGCGTGATTAAAAATAGCATCCTATTATAAACAAGTCGAGTTATACCATTTTCCAAACCTTATTTGGACTTGATTTTTTGGCAATAATAAACCAGTTCCACAGCTTACTTTTTATTGCACATGAATTAACAGTATAAGATAATGGAATATCATTCATAATGCTTTATTCAGCTACTGAGAGCAAATTTCTCAATGAACATTTCCATTTTCCTTTGCAGAGTTTACCATGACTTATTTTTAAAGTCATGCATCTGCCAAACACTGCGTGTTATCTACAGCTTGCACTAAATGGCCTGTCTGGAAGAGACAAAGAAAGAGACTGACCTATTAACGGCTGGCACAGACAAGTGAGCGATTCCAACTGCAAATACACTGTTTTCTACAAATACATAAAAAGAACGCCCCAAACCCGCTAGGAATCTTAATGAATATGAAATCATAATAATAAGGCAATAGGAAAAAATGTCAATAATTAAAAAGGTATACTTGCCCATATATACTTCTATTCTTCTGGCATAAAGAACTATAAGCTACATCTAGAAATCTTTTTTTAAAGGACCTATGATCCAATGAATTAGCTAATTCCAATAAACAATTAGTTAATTCTGTCAGGAAATGAAAAGTTCTAAAATTCACTAGTGATATCAATGAACCACCAAGTGATACAACTGAAGTTTAATATTCATTTTTCACACAGCTGACTAGAACATAATCTCCTAATGAAATCGTCAAAGGACAGGGTACTTGTAAAATACACAAAAATAACTTCTACTTCACTAAGAAATCATCAAAACGTATTTTAAATATAGTTCCAATAGTCAAATTTCTAACTTATCAGATCAAGTTTTATACCTAAAACAATATTATACTTAAAGATGGCCACACAGAGAAAACTTTTAAAGGAAAATCACAAATTACTATTCACTACTATTCATTCTTGCAAACACTATAATGGAAAAAGGTGTTATGAAATATTACCCCAATTAACACCAAAACGATTATAGAGAAAATATTCCATAAGCAACTGGATAGGCCTATTTACGCAGAAGTATGAACACCAAATACAAAACTGAGTCTTAGAGTTGTTGTTGTTGTTAAGTGCCATTGAGTCGGTTCCAACCCATAGTGACCCTGTATAGGGTTTCCGAGGGTGTAAATCTTTACGGGAGTAGAAAGCCTCATCTTTCTCCCGCGGAGCAGCTGGTAGTTTTGAACCGCTGACCTTAAGGCTCGCAGCCTGATTCATAACCACTACGCTACCAGAGCTCCTTAGAGTAGGACATTTAGATGAATATACATTTTTTGTTTTTTATGTGTACATCAAATAGTTTTTCTTTGCTCATTTGTGAAATATAAGATGTAAAAGGGAAGTCACAGGGAGGAAGTAGGAGAATTGTTATTGCAGGGAGGGGAATTGTAATCACTGAGACGAAACAAAGCATATTAATTGGTTGAATGTAAAAGCTGATGATCTTGTCTGCTGACCTTCACTTATTCACAACAAAAAGTTTAAAGAACAACTACAACAAAAATGAAGCTTAGACTTCAATGTAAAACTTAAACCCTAAAACATCTAAACACAGGAGAATATTATTATGAATTGGGTTAGACAATGATTTCTTAGCTATTAACACTAAAAACACAATTTACAAAAGAACAAATGGATAATATGAAATTCACCAAAATCTGCTCTACAAAAAGCAACGTAATGTGAAAAAAAGGAAAGCTACAGATAGGGAGAAAACCTCTGTAAAGCATGTATGTGATAAAGGTTTTGTATCTAGACTATCTAAAGAACTTAAAAATTTTAGTAATACTAATTTAAAAAACCCTCAATTTAAAGAGACAAACCTCAATTTCAAAAAGGGCAAAAGATCTTACCAAAGACACGAAGACAGCAAATAAGCAAATGAAGAGATGCCCAACATCATTAGTCTTTCGGGAAGTGCGTATTAAAACTTCAAGGAGATTATCACTATATACCTATTATTGTGTTAAGTGCCACTGAGTCGGTTCTGACTCATAGCGACCCTGTATAAGGTTCTAGGAAGCAGTTGGTGGGTTTGAACCACCAATCTTGAGGTAAGCAGTTCAGTGCGTATCCTATAGCACCACACCAGAACTCCATACATCTATTATTTATTGCAAATGCCAGTAAGTTTCAACTCACAGGTTTCTGAGGAAGTAGCTGGTGGATCTGAACTGTACACCTTGTGGTTAACAGTCCAGTAATGATCTTACAAGGCACACCAAGACTCCATACACTTATTAGGATTTCTAAAATCAATAGGATTAATCATACCAAGTGTCTTTAAGGATGTGGAATAACTAGAATTGTCATACAATGATAGGAATGTAAAATGGTAGAACGACTTTGAAAAAAGTCAGACAATTTCTGAAGAACTTGAACATTAATCTGTCATATGATTCAGCCAGACCACTCCCAGTGTTGTTGTTGGTGGTGTTAAGTGCCGTCAAGTCAGTTCTGATTCATAGCGACCAAGGGGTGGCTGGTAAGTTTGAATCGCCAACCTTGCAGTTCAAACCAACCTTGTGATCCAAAGTATTATCCTGCAGTGCCGCAGGAATGTAAAAATGTTGCAGCCAATAGGGAAAACAGCTGGTTCACTGGTAAGTTAAAAGTAAAATTACTTGATGCCCCATAATTCCACTCCTGGGTATCTACCCAGAAGACTTGAAAGCAGGGCCTCAGATCCACTTTCAATAATCAGAAGGTGGAAACAGCGTAAGTGTCAACCAATGGATGAATGGATAAATGTGGTATATTCATATAATGGAAAATTATGCCGCCATAAAGAGAAATACAATTTTGATACATGCTACAATATGAATAAACCTTGAAGGCATTATTCTAAGTAGAATAAGTCATGAACAAAAGAATACATATCATATAACTCCACTTATTGAGGTACCTAGCATAGGCGACTTCAGAGACAGAAAGAGACTAGAGGGCTGGGAGTAGAAAAGAGTTGTTCTTTAATGGGTGTTGTTGTTAAGTATCATGGAGTAGGTTCCGACTCATAGCAACCCTGCACAGGGTTTCCGAGGCTGTAAATCTTTACGGGAGCAGAACGCCTCAGCTTTCTCGCGCGGAACCACTGGTAGTTTCAAACAGCCGGCCTTGAGGTTAGCAGCCCGATTCGTAACCACTACGCTACCAGAGCTCCTTTAATGGGTGCAGAGTCCAGCAATTAGTAGTGATGGTTATACAACATTGTAAATGCACTTAATACCATTGGATTATACACTCAAAAACCAGATAAAATGATTTTAAAAACAAAACAAAACCTCAAAACGCAATAAAAAGTGTCACTCTTAGATAAACCTCTGTCAATAAACGTAATTTATCATTGAAAAGGAAGAATGTTCTAAGATATTATCACAAACAACATGTACCGTCTTCTCTTATTCAGACTCACATTTTATCAAATACTGTTTTAAAAACTTACTTCAAAACTAAATGCAAGTTAGCAGAGAGCCGAGGATCTGTGAACTGTGTTGTTCTGTTGTTATGGTCAACGAAATAAACTCTGCCTGTTGCTGTATTACGGATCTCCCAGCCAGGAGGCAGTGGACCAAGCTCTTCACAATTGATGTTGCTAAGATCTCTACAAAAACAAATAAAAAGTTTTTTTTTAAAAAAAACCTCACTGCTAGGTCTGCTGAGCCAAGTCACTGCAAATGACATAGAACAATTCCACAGACTCTGAGAAAATGTATTGTTTCAGAAACTTGAGATGTTCAGCTGGAATCCTTAATTCCCAATGGCTTAACAAATGTAAATATTCATAACCTAATCTATAAATGGCTCCAAAAACTTATCACATAGCCTACATTTTTAATAAGTTCCTAGGGCTTAAAGGTTATACAATTTTAAATGAATATAAAAACAATCAACAGCATTTGCCAACATAAGTAGAAGACTACAGTGGCTGGGTTCATACTGGGGAGAAAAAGGAATGGCGAAATTAACTATAAGTCCTTGGGAAGAGAGTGGGGAAGCCAGAAAGAAGAGGAGGAATCTGTAAAAGATTCTGAAACGGTCTTGTTCAGACAGAAAATACTGTTTTAACAAGTGTCAGTGATACAAGAAACAGAATGTTTTCTAAAGTTTCCCTTTCAATTCTTACACCATAAAATTGGTGTAAATAAGTGCCCACACTGTTTATCACCTGTAAATAAAAGTAGAAATAAACTCTCCAAGAAAACGAAACTGAAAATGTTCACTGAAATTATGAGCCTGAAAATAATCACGTACTGTCAAAGCATACCTGCTCCATTTAGAACTTCAGAATCCACAAAGCTAATAACTGAAGAAACTGTTCAAGACACCTAAGGAAGAATGCTCCTAGACTTACTGCTGTAATGGTGATTGGCAATGGACCAGTGACCATTGGTGTTATAATATGTTAACAAATTAAATATGGTTATTTTGTTTTCTACCTTAAACTGAAGCTTTATGAAGGAAGATGTAAAAAAAAAATACTGAATACGTTTATATAACGTTAAAACAGAACTTTTTAAAAACATCTGATCAGAGATGGCAAGTTACTACTCTTTTCTAAAGGGTATATTTTATATATTTAACCCAAGTGTCACTTCTCAAACTCCTAGAAAACCCAGGTTTTTGCCTCTCCCCTCTTTTGAAGAGGAGAGGTTAGGGACTTGAGAATGGAAAGAGTACTGCAGTAGGGTGGGATTGTAGTGTAGGTGGGATTTTTTTTTTTTTTTACTAAATATCAAACTAAAATAATCATCAGAAAGAGCTCAACTTTTATATATGCTACTCTTAGAAGTTAAAGACTAAATAATTCTTAAAATCATAGTTAAAATGGATATTCAAATGATATGAAGAATACTTAAAATAGGCTCTTACCTAGGCACTCTGGGATCATGCCATGTGCTTACACCAGTCTGAGTATGTAAGAAATACACTTGACCTTGCTGTGTTGTCCTCTGTTCTGTAAAATTAAAAAAACAAAAAAGCACTAATAAAAACATTCACAAAGTCCAAGTCTTAAACAGTTACAGATACTAAGAGGATATTATACAACAGGGAAATGCTCTGAATTGCAAATCTATTATTAAAAAAGTTGTTTAAAAAATCATTTGTTTTGAACTCTGAACCTATTTCCCCTCTGGAAACAATCTTACAAAGTTCATAGGTCAGCTATCTACAAGTCAATGCACTATGTGGCTCCAACATTAAACAAGTTCAGATGGAAAACAGAAAACAAGATTGGCACAATACCAATAAGCAAACAAAACAAAAGATGAAAAGATGATCTTGTATTTGTCTTAAAAATGGAGCCTGAAAGGAACAAAAGAAAGCTCAGAGAAGAAGCTGGCTAACTATGGAGAGATTCTGAGGACTCGTTCAGACACTTTTAATGGATCTGGAGGCTCATTTATTATGCCCAATTTAATACAAAAATTTATGTACTCTCTTTTCTGGACAGAAGTATATTATCAGGAAATAAAAGCTTAAAAAAATATATAGGGATATATAGGAGACACTGCATATACCCACTCCTCACTTACTGACAGGTTCCAAAGACCAGGTTGCGACACAAAAAACAAGCATTATGCAAAAATGGAGGATGGCTATATCAGATCACAAAATGAAAAGTAATCCCATCACTACCTAATGCCCAGGTACAGCTTTATATAACTGCCAAACCGCTGAAAATCATGGCCCAGTCAAGTTGACACATGATCCATCAGAACCAGTGTTACTTTCCCCTCACACCCTAGAGTTTGTTACTGCATGATGTATTTTGTTAGAGCACAAAATAGTCAGATCTATCATAAACAGTAAAAGTGTTGGATAATGAGACCGTTGATAAATAAGGAATAGGTGTAGTCATAAATAGGCAGAGATGGGAAGATAATCAGGTTGGGAAGAAGACTAAAGAGGCTGGGTTCATACTGGGGAGAAAAGGGAACAATGAAATTAACTGGAAGCCCTTGGGAAGAGATTAGGGAAGCTGGAGAGAAGAGGAAGAGTCTGTAAAAGCGCATCTTCAATGATACTTCCTTATTGTTATTTTTTTTAGAAATAGATCTTTTTCTTTCATCAAAATCTAATGATAAATGCAACATAGAAATGATATAACTTCTGTTAATATTAGTATAAATTTAATTTGTTTATAAACTTTAAAAAGTCCATCAGTTAAACCTCAAATGTTTAAGAATTATAAGAGGTGTTTAAAATAGATTATAGATTAAATTCAATAATTTAATTTTATGTCAAAGAAATCTTAAATCCAAGCCACACAACTATTGAGCAAATATAACCAAACCCACTTACAATTTCAACGAAAGAGAAAGGACAGGAGCCACTTTACCCTAATGCCTGAGCATTAATAGCTATAGCTCAAAGTTACAGTGTGCTTTCTATACCAGACACTGTGCTAGATGCTTCACATAAAATTCTATCATTTGTTTCTTGCAACATAGCTACCTAATTGGTTCTATCACATCCCCTATTTTGGGGAAGAAAAGACTAGACTCCGAGAAGCTAAATAATATGGCCACTGTCACTTGGCTAACATACTGCAAAGCAGGGATATGCATGTAGCTCCATCTGACAACCTGTGCTCAAACAGAGAGTGTGGAAATTGGTGTTCAAAAAAATTATTTCAAGAGTTAAAAAGTGTTTCAAAAAGACAAAATCAAGCACTTACAGAACAGTTAAAAATTATCCTACAGTAAAAATAAAATACCAAGTTAGAGCAGGCAATTCCAAAGTTTGGTCACTAGGTGTCACCATCATCCCAGAATAGGTTTGCTAATCCTGGTAGCCAAGGAGACAGTCATACGTGGTCACGGTGGCAGTGGCGGTGGTTTGTGTGCCATCGAGCTGGTTCCGACTTACAGCAACCCTACATAGGGTTTCTGAGGCTGTAAATCCTTATTAGAGCAGAAAGCCTTATCTTCCTCCCTCAGAGTGGCTGGTGGACTCAAACTGCTGACCTTGCAGTTAGCAGCCCAACTCATAGCCCACTATACCTACCACCAGAGTACTACATACAAGAATATTCACAAATTGTGATTAATTTATAAAGCACTGTATTTAACTAGTAGAAGGCGCATATAATCTACAAGAAGTTCTACAATTCTAGTTTATATAACAATTTTAAACACAGAAGTGACTCATGCTTACATCAATAATCCTCAAATAATCCAAAATTATAATCATACAAACATAATTTATGAATACTTTTAGAAATACGACTTTCAAAAATTATTTTAAAATAGGTATGTCTAGAAAAGTACACTGCAAGTATGACTTTAGATTGTTATTTGCTGTTGAGTCAGTTCTGCCTCAGGGGTGACTCCACGTGGAGAGAGTAGAACTGTACCACAGGGTTGTCAAGTCTGCATACTTCTGGAAGCAGAGAGCCAGGCTGGTCTTCCAAAGCACCCGAGTGGGTTTAAACCACCAATCTTTCAGCTACTAGCTGAGTGCTTAACTACTTGTACCACTCAGGGACTCTGACTTCAGTTTGCTGTTGTTAAGTGCCGTCGAGTCGATTCCAACCCATAGTGACCCTGTACAGGGTTTCCGAAGAGCAACTGGTGAGCTTGGACCACCGACCTTGCAGTTCAAACGGCTTTGCAGTCTGACGCATTACCCCACAGCGCCACACCAGGACTTCTGACTTCAGTTTACCCAATATTAATACTGCCACCTTACCTTTACATAATGACTCTTTACAAAGTACATTGTCTCATGTGCTCCTCTTACTAGAACTTTGTGACACTGTTGTTGTCAGGTGCCGCTATGTTGGTTCTGACTCATAGAGACTCTGTATAGGGTTCCTGAGGCTGCAAATCTTTGGGGGAACAGAAATCATTATCTTGCTCCCAAAGAGCAGGTGGTGAGCTTGAACTGCCTACTTAGTGGTTTGCAGTCCAATGATGATCCTACAGCGATAGCTCACTCTCCTAACTTTGTGAGAGGGGCAGTACTATTCCTTTCAGCTTCTGTATCTCATCTGTATAAGGCAGAGGTTAAATAACTAGTCCAAGAGAAGACTGCTGGTTAGATAATCTACTACCACCTTCAAAGACTTTTCAAAGTTGGGAAGTTTTACGTTTACTTTCATTAACTTTTTTTTTTTTTTAATTGATTTCTCTGGCTTTCTTAGCAAGCTGAAATCAGTAAACCACATTAATGTTTCCTTTTTAGTTGTCATACCGTAGCCTTCAGGAAGGTCTGGAGGAGTGTGTAAATGTGTCCTGCTCATGTAATTTCTATGTCGTTGTGACCTGACTCTCCTCTCTGCCAGTCTGGGATCTGAAGACTGTCCGCATGTTGCACCATTTGTTCCACTAATGGGAGTGTTCTCATCAACAAAGCAGCTGAGAGGTCTGCCGGGACTAGAATATTCTGATGCCGGTCTATTGAAAAGTAACAAAGGGGGGGGGAAAAAAGTTACTAACTCAAATCTCAGACATCAAAAGTAGAATTCTCTTGACAATGTATTTATACTGTGATAACAATAATCACATATCATACCAGAAAATGGAATGGTTGATACAAAATCTAATGATTTTAAAAGAAGTCTGTATAAAAGTAGAGGATGAAGTCTCTGAATACCAAAGAAGCTCAGGTGATAAGCATATCATCAATTAGACAATGATATGATTTTATATCTATTTTAGTGACGTTTTCTATAAAATCCATATATGTTGATAGCTGTGAAAACTCAACTACAAAATCCTATTCCATGCAGCTATAGCCTACCTCAAAGGATCTTATTTCCCATCACTCTCCTCCCCACGTGGCTTCCTCCACATCATCGAGCCTTGAGAATAGCTCTTCCTTCCAACAGGAATGCGCTTTTCCCTTAGCTTTTCCCTTATTCTTCGCAGGTCTGGCTCTTTCATCGTATGCAAATCATAGCTTAAGCTTAAATGTTGCCTCCTAAGAGGTTCTTCCTGACCTGCCAATCTAGTCAGTCACCTGGTCATGTGATAGTGCATCACCTTAGTTCTCAGCATACTACTTATCATAAATATTTGTCTTGTTTATTTCCACACTTGTTTTTATCTATCTCTCCCATGAGAATATTTAGTAAGAGAACAGCCTCTACCCTAGTCTGTTCTCCACAATGGCCAGCATCCAGAAGAGTGCCTGGCATGTAAGATTAGCTCAATGAATATTTTTTGAATAAGCAAAGGAAAAGAAGATAATTGGTCATTTTCAAGGAGCTTCCAGTCCAATGTCCATCTTCCAAAACAAATGAAAAATCAAGAGCTTTAAAAAAAATAACGTTCACAACAATTAACTTCACACATATGGAAAGGAACGTCAATTTTGTAAGTTCAAAGGAAACACATTCATTTATGTTTTGATATAATAAAAACGGGCCCTTCAGCTTCATGAAAATCTTTTGTCATTTCATACTACAAATGCAATTCTCAAATCAGCATTTTTAAAAAATGGCAACACAAGCTAAAGAAGCTTTTACCAGAGAATCATAACAGCAGAAAAAATTTTTGTGATTCAATTAACTTAAGTAATTAATCCCTAATAAATAAAAAAAAGTAGGTAGACTCAATGAGAAGCATTTGATGTGCTATGCCAACTGTCAGGTCTGAATATCCATAGCCTATTCATCTTCAGTTACTTGAAAGCACCTTCTTGTAGTTTCCAAAATATTATCTTGTATCTCCATGTCTTTTTATATAATACGTCTATGAAGAAAGCAGACTATATCTGCTTTTCTGCCTTTTTCATTATTGTAGCCCAAATTATGCTGAGGATACATACGTACCACCACCCTGAACATTATTCACCATCTTGCCCTGACCCAAATAAATCCTAATGCTCTTCAAAATTTAGTTCAGGGACTCCTCCTCCCTCCAGAGAAATTTCCTCCACAAGTTCTACCATCTGGTCTCAGAGCATCTGGTTCTTAAGTCCTGACTGGACAAGATATAACTTTCTTCCTTCCTGACTAAAAGAAGGGAAGGTACTGTATATATTTATTGTGTCATAATAAATATAAAAATAGTAAAACAATTCAAGATTACCAGAAATAAAATGATTTTTCAACGTGCTCATTTAACTCATACAATGTAATAAATACTGATGAAGTACCGTGCCAGTCTCTGGTACGACAATAACAGAATGACCTGCTAAACAAACTTTAAATCCTTTTAAAACAAATAATGGGAACTGCCATAAGACTGACTAGTCTACAACAGTATATACCAAGAGAAGAAATCCAGGAAAGTTGATAAATAAATGGAAAGGGACTTCGAGATGGGAAATCTCAGAGACCATGGGCAAATATTTGAAACTTCTTACCGTGTTGGGCGTTCCCACTGTGTAGTTCTTGTTATGTGGTTTAGATACTGGATTCTTCCAGAGGCAGTTCGCCTTTCTTCCCAACTTGAATAAAAACATTGAGAGATAAGGCATTGACAGTGTTACAGATTGAATTGTATTACCAAAAATATGTCAACTTGTTGACCATGATACTCAGTATTAAGTAATTTCCCTCCATTTTGTGATCTTATGTGACTATCTTCTTCTATGTGATAAGCACCAGACTGCGAACCCCAAAGTCACGGGTTCAAACCCATCAGCTGCTCCTTGGGAACCTTGTAAAGGGTCACTATGAGTCGAAATCAACTCAACAGCATTTAACAGTATGTGTTGTAAATGCTAACCTCTCTGATGTTAAAGAAGCAAAATTAGGAGCACTTAAACTAATGAGGCAGGTTTATCTTAAGTCAATCTCCTTTGAGCTATACAGAAGATTCAACAAGCAAGCAGAAATCTGAGGGACCTGACTAGCCCCAAGAAAGACGAGCCAGAGCAGAGTGCATGCTGTGGTCCCAGACCCCTGCACTGGGAACTTCCTAGACCCAGGGGAAGATTAGTACCAAGACATATGCTGATCTTCAAGGGATGCCAAACCCACAGATGTTGAAAGGAGACAAGGACCTTTCAGAGGCGACAGAGAGAGGACCTTCCCCTAAAACTGGTATCCTGAATTTAGAGTTCCAGACTCCTTAACTGTGAGACAACACATTTCTGCTCGTTAAAGGCACCCACTTATGGTATGTCTGTTACAGCAGCACTAGACAGGTATTGACAGGAAGCAGGGACCATAGGGGGTTTTCAGTGCAAACACCACAAAAGGCAGACATCTGTTGTTATAAATCAGGAAGGACAAACTGAAAGGTTCAATTCACAGAATATTTTACAATTGTACAAAGTTTTATGGAACTCTAAATCTTATAACATAATTACACTAAGATGTGACTATAATATTTTTCCATCAATTAAACAGAACTATTTAATAATTGATCAGTTAGTATAATTTCTCTAGAATTTTACTGAAAGAATGGCCACACGAAAAGAACTAATTTTTTAAATTAAATTTTACTGGAAAAACATATCAAAGATGCTTTCAGTAGAATTTCATTGCTGTTTTTGTTAAGTACCATCGAGTCAGATCTGATTCATAGCCACCCTGTACAGGGTTTCCAAGGAGCAGCATTTAGCCTACCCCAACTAATTTTTATTTTTAATTAAAAATATCACTTCTTCCCCCATACCTTTTCATATAATGAAACCATCAAATGGCACAGTAATATAGTAATGCTAAAGAGATACTAGGGAGACAATGTTTCCTCCTGTAATTGTAGCTACAATATAATAATGTATAGTAATATTAGAAAAATGAATTTTGTACTGCAAGAATCTCTCAATACGGATCAGTTATTTCATTTGAAACATCTTCAAAAATATAATCTAATTCACATCCACAAAAGAACTAACACATATCATTAAGCTAAAGTAAACAGTAAAAAGTTTTAAATTACAATGATTTTCAACAGCTTAAAAGAACAAGTAAATACCACATTTTGGATGTAAAATTGCATGTCAAAAATAGTAAGTTAAAGCTTAATAAATTGCACACTTTAAATGGATGCAATTTATTGTATGTAAATCATACCTTATTAAGGTTAATTAAAAATAATTTTAAAGTTAAAATAAAATTAAAAAAAGTGTCAGAACTGGTATCAAACACAGATAGGGAGCAGAACTGGTATCAAACACAGATACAGGGCATGAGCTGGTGGCTCGAGAGCACGGCTGGTTGGTGTTCCAGCTCTGCCACTTCCTACGGTAGCTTTACATGAGTTAGCTCACTGCCATGAGTCTTCTTTTTATTGAATATTTCAGTAATGAAGGTAACAAAAGTAGTGGTGACAGTAATAACAGTCAATGAAATTATTAAGCATTTACTATGTGTAAGACACTGTGCTAAGTGCTTCACATGAAAAGCTTCATTTCATCTTCACAGCAACTTATGGGGTATATACTACTATCATCATCCCCTTCTACAAATGAATACAAACTGAAGCTTACACAAATTTTGTGAATTCATCAAGGTCATAAAGCTAATAAGCAGTAAATTGAAGACTGGAGCTCAGTTGGTCTTATTCCCAAATCACATGCTATATACTGACTTCCAAGATGCTATCAGAATTAATGACAAAACATACATGAAGTACTTATAAAATTAAGTGGCAAGCAGTATTTAATAGATGCGATTCTATTATATTATAGTTACTAAGGAGCTCTGGTAGCGTAGTGGTTACAAGTCGGGCTGCTAACCTCAAGCTCAGCAATTCGAAACTACCAGCAGAAAGTTTCGCAAGAGGAAGACGAGGCTTTCTGCTCCCATACAGACTTATAGCCTCGGAAATCCTATACAGGGTAGCTAAGAGTCAGAACCAACTCCACAGCACACAACCACCACCACCATTATAATTACTATTATCTCAATTCTGTATCCCATTTCTCTAAAAAGAGCATATTTCAGATTCAGCATTTGTAGAAATGTACTGTTTGAATTAATTTTTAAAAAAAAGCTTTTCTTTAAAAGGATACATATTTTTAGGAATGTTCTATTTGCTAAGATATTCCATCTATCTCAGTCAAAACTCCTAAAACCCTAAGGTACTGCTTATTTAATTTTCCAGATATAAGAAAACCTAGACTCTAGAATTCTGAAGTTTGATATGAGTTATTTTTCATGACTCTCAGAATATCCTAGCTGTCTACTTTTCTAGTGATTTCCATGGTGTCAGCTTACCCATCTGGTAAATCATTATCAAACAAACGACTGCAGTCCACAACTTGTCCTCCTGTGCCTATTCGATCTCTGGACTGGAGACTTACTATTAAACAACAGAAACATTACTAAGCTTCAAAGAACTAGAAAGAATTATTATAATCTAAAAATATGTAACTTCAGAAGACATCCTTTAAAAATAATTACAAAGACTATGTATACAGAACACTAAAAAGGTTTATGATATAAAGTAAAATACAATGTTATGTTTGCTGTAATTAAAATCATTAAAAAAAAAATGCATGTATATGAAAATACTAAAAGGGGATATATATTTAAACTAGTGTTCGACTATACTTTTCTCCATTTTCCTAAAAGATTGTTATATACATCTATTTACAAATACTTATAAAGGTCTAATTCTGCAAGAACTAAACTTATTCTGTTTCCAGGCCAAAGAATTGTTGTTAGGTGCTGTCAGGTTGGTGCTGACTCATAGCAACACTTCGTACAACAGAAGAAAACACGGTCCAGTCCTGCGCCATCCTAACAATTATTATGTTTGAGCCCATTGTTGCTGACACTTTGTTAATCCATCTTGTTGGGGGTCTTCTTCTTTTTCACTGACTCTCTAACTTTACCAAGCATGATGTCCTTCTCCAGGGACTGACTCAGGTTCTTCCTGATCACATCTGAGATGGGAGTTGTCATCCTCGCTTATAAGCAGCAATCCAACCATGCTTCTTCCAAAAGAGATTGAAGTGTTTTTCTGAAAACCCACTGTACTTTCAATATTTTTCACCAACACCATAATTAAAATGCATCAACTCTTCTATAGCCCCGTTTACTTGTTGTTCAACTTGTATTGCATATGAGGCGACTGATTGAAAACACCATGGCTTGGGTCAGGCACACGTTTGTCCACAAAGTACATCTTTGCTTTTAAGAGTTTAAAGAGGTCTTTTGCAGTAGATGTGTCTTATGTAATATGTCGTTTGGTTTCTTGACTGCTGCTTTCATTGAGTGTTGATTGTGGATCCAGGCAAAATGAAATCTTTGGCAACTTCAATCTTTTCTCCATTTATCATGGCATTATTTACTGGTCCAATTGCGAGGATTTTCCTTTTCTTTACACTGAGGTGCAAGCCATACTGAAGGCTGTGGTCTTAGTTCCTTATCAGTAAGTACATCTCAAGTCCTCTTTATTCCAGCAAGCAAGATTTTGTCATCTGCATATCACAGATTGTTAATGAGTCGTCCTCCAAGCCTGATGCCACATTCTTCTTCATAGAATCGATCTTGGATTATTTGCTTAGTATACAGATTGAATACAAAAAGGATACAACCCAGCCAAACAATTTTCCTGACTTTAAACAAGTAGTATCCCCTTGTTCTATGATTAACAGCTGCATCTTGGTCTATGTGCAAGCTCCTCTTGAGCACAATTAAGCGTTCTGAAATTCCCTTTTTTTTTTTTTCTTTCAACATTACCCATAGTTTATGATCCACAGAAAATTAAAGGATCAGAAAGCAGTCTGCCTCTTATTAAGTCTTATCATGAAAATCTAATTCACACAAGAACTTTAAATTTGAAATAATAGCAAGTTAAAACATTAGTCTTTTAAGTAGTATGTACTATTAAATGTATTTCTAGAAACTGGCAAAGAAAAGTTTGCTAGTTTCTTAAATGTAACTTTACACCTAGTCAATCTATTTTGTTATTACAAGACAGTCAGTTGGCAAATATTACAGAGCAACAGGTCAAAGAAAGAACAACTCAATAAACTCTTATATACCAGGATTCATTCTGAGATGTTTCTTACTGCCTTCTCAATCTAAGAATTATCAATAATGCTGGCATGTAAATACATTCTTGGAATAACCACAACAGGGCTCTGTCATGTTTTCACTCTGATAATTTCCTAACTATGAACTCAACTCATTTAAAATTAAGTCCTTCAAGTACATTTTATAACTAAAATCTGTGCTAGGTTTACAGTGAAATCATCTAATTCTGAATTCTGCTCTATCACGAAGTGGTGGATTTGCTATTTTCCAGTTGCCTTTCTTTTCTAAGCAACCTCAAAGGCATCGATCTCAGTGTACTGTGCATGCTATACATCTCAATCAAAATCTCAGTCCATCACTTCTTAAAGAGAAGTCTCAGGATATTCCCTATGAAGTCTTTCTTCTAGATTAAGTCAAGATGGCCCGCTAGCCCACTAAACTAATCTACCTTCTCTAGTTACTGTTAATGCTATACCGATATCACCACTGCTCATTCTGTTTTTCTCCAGTTAGCATAGACTTATTTTCAAACTGTAAAGCTCTGCAGGAGGAAGATGAAGCTTTCTGCTCCCATGAAGATTTATAGCCTCAGAACCCTATATGGGGTCTCTGTGAGTCAGACTGACCCAACGGCACCTAACAACAGAGAACTAAACATTAAACAGAGTTCAAGACAATATTCTTTTAAATATTTTCAGAAGACTTTTAATCTATAAAGTCTGTTTCTACTGTTTTTGAATACTTTGATAAAGTTTCTTCCTAGAGGATCAATTATTCTTTAGGACACTAGGAGCTCCCAATTTTTTACATTATTTATACTTTTATGTTTTTTGAATTTAACTTGGATTTGCAGCTTATTAACATTTTACATGACTCAAGACGATATAATGAATGTACTTTGTAATATAGAATATATTTATAAGTTAATTTAAATGAAGCTAAAATTCATGTAACGTTAAATTCCACACTTACCTACTATCTGTCCTCTAACTGTATCATTGTCATTTGGCCCAAGTTTGCATAGATCCAACCTCTGATCTATTTTAAATCAACAACAACAAAAAAACAATTAAAAAAATGAGCCCCTATCAAAGATTCTAGAGTCTATAGAGTGGCATTAAATGCCTACCAGCCACTGGAAAACAAGTCTATCATTTTAAAAGTGAATTATGTCATACTGTGTTTTAATGGCAGAACAAATGTTAAACATTCTCCAGCTGAACAGATCAGTCACATAAATGTCTCAACATATGTTCTGATGGTGTATCACACTGTCAGCATGTGGTTACTTTCTCTCCAGACGTTTCAGGCCACTTCTGTCCGAGTCCTTGTTTTTGCCACTTACTTGTTGATCTTAAGCAAATCATTTCTGAGCCTTGATTTTCTGAAGTTCAATAATAATACCAACCTCATACAGTTGCAGTCTAGATTAAATAATTATGTAAAGCTCTTAGCACACTGCTTGGTACATACGTGTCCAATAAATACTGTTATTGTTATTATCCAGTAATTTCAAATGACAAAAATACAAAATAAATAATGAATAAGAAGCAGAAGTGGACTATACGATGTGAGTTTGAGTCAGTTGTGCTATATCTCACTTACAGACATTTGTATATGTTATACTAGGATTCTAACCACTGAGAATTAATTCCCTTTTAACTGCCACTTTAAAAACTCCAATCACCTAAATATAAGTCACTTCATCTCATAAGGCCACTAACTCCAGAGATGGGTGCTAAGAAATACAAATAAAGACATGTACACAAGGAGAATGATGGAGTTTTTCCATAACATTTTGAAGCCCCTTCATACTTGGATACTTTGCTTTCATTCTTCAAGATAAAATCATTTAAACATATATTTCAGAGACAGCTAAGCATCAGTTCTGATTCCGCTTTTGGTTCACATATTTTAAATGTTTCATTTTTTTCTTAAGTCCACAAAAAAATTTAAACCAATGGCATTTATCATACAAAAAAGTTACCAACATTTTAAACATACACAGGAGCTTATTAAGTTTTTAAGACTCTTGTCCCTTGCACCCACCCTCCAAAAAAGAATGAAAGAAAAGCTCTTTTTAAAAAAGCACAAGTGTCTACTCACAACCAGTGTCTTTGAGGCGGTTGATGGCATTGGAAAGAAGACGAACACAACCAAGAAATCCAGCACCTTGCTTTTTATGGATCTTTTTGTGATTCCACACACTGATGGTAACAGAATCTGACTTTCCAATGTACCTAAAACACAAAATGGCTTTATGACCAACTTGACACTTAACAAGCAGTTATTGTAAAACTTTTGTTTTGTTCTTTTGATATTCTGAAGTCACAAATATGTTTCAGAGTATGGCTGGATTATGCAAAATATACTCCCAGAATATGAGGAAATCTGTAGGTTCATAAATTATTTTCATGTGACTTCAACTAATCCACAGGACTGAAGTTAAAAAATGATAATCTTAAAAGTCATATCTAAAAAGAATTTTCAATACACCACATCCACTACTCAGGCTGGGTAATGATATTGATTAGTGAAAAAAAATTGTTTTAGTAGCCAACACCTAATAATACTATGGGAATGTATGACTACTTCTATTCAGGAAAAAAAAACCTCTAAAATAAAGAACTTTTAGTATTTTAAATGCATTTCCATGGCGTTCTCCACTACCTCAGAGCAGGCTTTGTTAATTTCAAGGAGGTTGTCAAGGCTGACAGACCAAAAATCTGACCTACCTGTTAGGTTTTTAAATGCTGGAGAACAAAAGCTGTTTGTAACGCTTTTCCCCTGCTTCTTTCCTGTATGCAGGCCTTGAGCGAGCAGGACTCTTGTAGATTTCCCTTCACTGCCTGCAGACAAGCAGAGCAGGGAAAAGCGTTACTGTACTTGTCTGGACATATACCTGCAAATATGTAGTAGCTCTACTGCAGCCAATTGTTAACATGGCGTCAACCCATGCAAAAATAGAATCAAATCACAAAATTCTATCAGTAGAACCCAAATTCTATTTTCAGTGACTCTGAGGTCAAATTTTTGGTCCAGCAACCTTGACCTTAAAGTGTCATTCAATATAGCAGTATTATCAGAAAAATTCACTGAGTATATTTTTATATACTTTTTTAAGCCTAAACCACCTAAGTGAGGAAGAAAACATTTCACTGAAGACCAGGGGAGCCACACTTGTGCCTACAGCATACCCGCTCTGTGGTGTGCTTATGAAAGACCTTGACTCAAGTATCATTCAGCAGACAAGCAACTATTTCCAAATAGACATAACTTGGCATATCAAGGGAGCTTTAAAACATTCATGGGAAAATGGAATACAAAGATAATGAAATTTCCCCACAAATTTTATGTCAAATTCTAGAGCCAGAATCAATTATTAAACAGTTATATTATCTCAAACCAAACATAAACAAAAAACAAAAAAACATTAAATCAGTTTCCCAACTGGTAACCCTAGTTCCCCGATGAGCTGAGATATTGCTTCCCTCAGGCTGCATGGCAGTCCTCCGCTGGCTTTAACGTCGTCTTCTGTTTCATGTGCTGCACTCTAATAGTATTTTTTCATGTTTACCATAAAGACAAAAAAATTGAGAAACTCTAAACTAAATTATAGTCAACATTTAATAATTATGAACTATTAACTATACTGTGTTATTTTAAGGAGCTCTCGTAGCATAGTGCTTACGCATTGGGCTGCTAACCTCAACGTGAGCAGTTCGAAACTACCAGCTGTTTCATGGAAGAAAGATGAGGCTTTCTGCTCCTGTGAAGATTTATAGACTCAGAAACCCTATACAGGATCACTATGATTCTGAATCGACTCTGTGGCACATAACCAACCAACCACATTGTATTATTTTAGGACTACTGGTATGGCTCTGTAGGATCAGCACAGGGCTGTAAATCACAAGGTTGGCAGTTCAAACCCATCAGCTGCTCCTTGGAAACCCTACACAGTTGGAACCTATTTGACGGTACTTAACAAAAATAACAATTTTTATTTCTTCGGTCTACAGAAATATGTACTCTCACATTGAGGAAACCTCATGTAACATAACACATATTCTTTTTTTGTTTAAAAGACAAAGTCAATTGTTTCATAACTTAAAATTAACTATAGTCAATTAACATTTTTACTTGACTAAGAAATATGTCATTTATGGACAACTTTACAAGATATCCTATCGTGAGAAGAAGCCACTATATAAATAAAAAATATACCAAACATTCCAGTTAGGATGAATTAAAGCCTATGTGTGTAGATTTAGTCAGTTAAGGGCAAGGTTTTTGCAGAATAACACAGTGTTTACCCATCACTGTCCCACTAACACAGTTCTTTGACAACAGCAAAGGGAAAGTCTTGTGTAAGCAGTAATATCCACTTAAAAAAAAAAAAAAAAAGTCCAACAAGCACATGAAAAATGCCCAACATTATCACTAGTCATCAGGGAAATGCAAATCAAAACCCAAATGTAATATAACTTCACACCCACATGGATGGCTATTTAAAAAAAAAAAGATTTTTTTTAAGGTGGAAAATAAAAGTTATTTTGTTATATTCAGCAGACACGCACCTATTTCCAAACAGACATGACAGAACTAATTTGGCATAGTGTGGGGGAAAAGATGTGGAGAAATTGAAACCGTCATATATTGCTGGTAGGAATCTAGAATGATGTGGAAAACAATCTGGTGTTTCCTCAAACAGCTAAACATAGAATTACCATACTACTGCAATTTCTGTTCCAGGTATGCAAACAAGTATAAATACACATATGTTCATAAGCACAACTATACCTCATAGTCAAAAGGTGGAAACAACCCTAATGCCCATCAATAGATAACTGGTGGTGTGCTGTCGAGTTGGTTCCAGCCCACAGCCAACCCATATAGGGTTTCCATGGCTATGTATCGTTACAGGAACAGAAAGCCTCACCTTTCTCCCGCAGAGCAACAGCTGGTAGATTTGAAATGCTGACTCTGAAGTTGCAGCCTAGCTCATAGCCAACCACACCACCTATTTTTTAAAAGGTGAACCTCAAAAACATTATGCTAAATGAAAGAAGTCAGATAAAAGGTCATATATTTTATCATTCCATTTATATAAAATATTCAGAATAAGTAAACTCATAGGGACAGGAAATAGACTGGGGCAAAAGGGAGACTACGTAAGTCAGGATTTCCTGGTTGGAGTGATGAAGTAGACAGAGGTGGTGGATTCACAACACTGTGAAAATACTAAGTGCCACTGAATTATTCATCACTTTAATTGGTTGTTATTTTGTTGTTGTTAAGTGTCATCAAGACGGTTCTGGATTCATAGCGACCCTATACAGGGTTTCTCAGGAGTGGCTGGTGGTTAGCAGTCTGGTGATTATTCTGTAGTACTACATCAGGACTCCATGGTTGTTTTTTTATCTTAATAAAAATAGTAATAAAAGTCTAAATGTGTGGACGTAATATGTGATGAAAAACCACTCAAGCTCAGCTTGAGCAAAAATGACATTTGATCATTTCCAGTCACAAGAGATCATGTTCCCAAAATGGCTTTTTACAAATCAACTGTTTGGAACTACAGAACCTGTTTTCCAATAGAAACAATATGATACAAGATTATGGGTCTGAAGCATAACATCCCAAAAGCACTACAGAATCAAAGCTAAGCATAAAAACATTTGATGCATTAGACACTAAAAACTGAAGACCATTAGAGTTGTTGGATGACATCAAAAGCATCATACAAGAAGAAAGCAAAAGGTCATTAACCCCCTCTAAGACTGAAACTCAAAGGGAACACATAAGCAGGCATGTAAGCTGTTCTTCAGATGATCTCTAAGTTCAGGTGGTATATGTTCAAAGTCATTGGCTCTTGTGGACATATTTTAATTTTCTTCAGCTTCCGTCTGAAATTGCATGTGAACAATTGATGGTCTATTCTATAGTTTGCCAGTGGCCTTGTTTTGGCTGATGATATGGAGCTTTTCCACTGTCTCTTTCCACAGATGTAATCAATTTGATTTCTGTTTATTCCATCTGGTGAGTTCCATGTGTATAATCGTCTTTTATGATATTTTAAAAAGGTATTTACAATGAAGAAGTCATTGGTCTCGCAAAATTCTATCATGCGATCTCCAGCATCATTTCTATCACCAAGGTCATATCTTCAAACTGCTGATTCTTCATATTTATTTCCAACCTTTGCATTCCAATCGCCAGTAACTATCAATACATTTTGAGTGCATGTTTGATCAATATCAGACTGAAAAAGTTGATAGAATTCTTCAGTTTCGTCATACTATGTTGGTATTCTGTAGTTTTGTAAGTTGTACAATCTATTTAAACAAGCCAAATATCCATAGATACATGAGTATGTCTTTGAAACTACTAACTTAGGGATGAAAATATTACTTTGAAATAAACTGGTGAAAACCTGGATAGCTAAAGTCCTAGTTTTTTAAATTCCAGAAATAAACAGGTACGACAGGTACTGCTCACACCCAGCAAGTTGCTAGGAACTCTGTTTTTCCTGCTGTTCTCAAAGGGATCTGGAGATGTTCTTGCTTTTGTTGGAATGGTTTCAGAGCCTGATAAGAATGTACTCGTAGCTTCTCTGGTCTGAACGTGGATGCATTGTACTATAGAAATGTTACAGCAAGCAAGTAAGCTTGCTGGCAACCACACTGGTCTACTGGTGAGTGAAAGAGGGCGACAGGCAGCAATGAAGCAATGGGCTGAGTTCAACCACAGTCCACAGACTCCTGCTGACCTGGAGATGAAGAGAGAGAAGAGGAAGGGCTGGGTGGTCCAAAGTGTGGAGAGACCTGGGAACACCTGAGCCCATGGACAAGGACATAGCCACGGAGGGCTAGAGCAGAGAGTGAAGCATGCAGCTGATATGGACTGAGAGGAGGTGCACAAGAACACCCACTCTTGCAGACAGTACCCACTTGACCTACCCTCGGTGGCTTGATAATCAGAACTCAACTAGAGGAAGAT